AAATACAGAACCTACAATGAATATTTATTACTGAAAATATTGAAGAAGCCAATGTCCCTCTTCTTAATAGATGTTATTTCTCATTCTTTGAATAAGTCCATTGATGATGGAAAGCAGATAATCTGCTTCTGGGATCTCTCTTGCCTTGCATTGTTACTTATAACAGCACACAAGGAACAGAATTTGTCACCACTGTCTCTGCGAAGGACTGCTGAATCCCCTTGTAGAGGGGACTCTGGGGAAGTCAGTTTTTGGGCTTAAAGGATAATTTTTTTCACTTTGTTATGACTTTTCGTTCATTTGTTCCTGCCAGTTTCTCTGATGCTGCCATTTGATGTTGTTTGCCATAGGTCTGTGACATGATGTAAAGCAGTCAGCGTGTTTGTGTACTGAACCCAGCATTTCTTGCTCTGCTGAAGCTGGTGCAGGGCTGAGCAGTGACTTCCCTGTGCTCCTCCATGGCTCAGCCCCCTTAGCCATCATTTTCCATGTCTGTTTTGCCAGTTTTCCAGCTCTGGAAAAGAGCTCTTGCTCTGACTTCACTAGCTGTAATGCAGATTCGCTCTCTTTTTTTTTTTTTTACTAAACCCTAGTACCAGCTCTGGTGCTTTCCTTAGCGTTTAATGGCTTGCTGGAAGATGCAGTGCCTGCTGGTGCTGCTCTGCCTGCTCAGCTGCAGCCACAGCTCTTGTCCCTGCTCAGCATTGACCCAGTAAAGGCAGCTGTGATGCTCAGGGGCCTCCCAGTGCTCACTGGTAACGCTGGCTTTGGGGAGGCCATGGCTAGCCTGAACTGCTGCTGGGCTTTCCTAGACTTGGACGTATTCTTGACAAAACCAGAAAGCTGGGAGAGGGTGAGCAGAGAGCTCAGGGAAGCACCAGTGAGGCCAAGGCTGGAGAGGGTGAAATCGGGAACCAGAGGGAATGCTCCTTGGATGCAGTTCTTGCTGGAGGGGTGAATCTGGGGGGGTTTGAGCAGCCAACAGCTGACTATTGAAAAGCACAGACAGCTGATCAGGAAAACAATACCTTTTGTGCTTTTTTTGCACAAATATTTAGCAGCAAGTAACAATTCTATCTGCCTGTTGCATCTGTCTCTCGTCCTTCCAGACAGCTTGAGCTCAGTTTTAGGATGCTAGAAATGAATGGGTTCACCAGTGGCAACGCACTGCCAGCACCATCAGCTTTGATGAGCGGTGGGGGTGTGTGCTAACCGCAGATGTTTTCAGTGTTTTTGGTGTGGACAATGGTGGGACAAATGAGGCCATGTTTGTGCCTGCTCTTTGTTGCTGAATTTGTGTGGTCACTGATGGCCAAAGCACAAATTTTACCCATCATCAGTGGCTGTGGTACAAACTTAGCTAATTAGCCTTTGGCACTGGTTGGCAGGTGCCCATCATCCCTCCAGGAATGCTGGCTGCATTTTTGAACCTTTGCTTTCCAGCCTCACCGGCACACTCTGCATCCCCCCCCAGCCTTCCTCTCTCTCCTCTCCAGCCCAGGTGCTCGTTCCCTGCATGAGAAATGATTTCACATCTTGCAAAATTAATTCGCTGCTCATGATGGCCTTGATTAAACAGATTGGCAAACTGTGCTAAAGGTGGCAAAACAGCTCTGACGTGCAGACGTCTTCACCTCCTGAAAGCAAAGGCAAAAAACCGTGGGCTGCTGCTAATAGGAAATGCAGGTGGCTGTGGGCTGTTTTCTGCAAAAGCAGCAAAACCTCTTTGCATTTGGCAACAGCATCTGCAAAGTTAACCTGCCTGAAACACCAGTAGATGTAATTATTGGCACTAGAACTACATTAGCATGAAATAGATAAGGTTTGTCCATCCACAGCTGGATAGCCTGTACCGATGCTCCAGGAGTTTGGGGATGGATCTGCTGCAGGTGTGCGGGGGAAGGCCAGGGTCCTGCCTCTGCCAGGATATATCCATTAACCAAGCAGAGAACAAGCCTGCTTGGGCCCCAGCTGTGGTTCTTTATACTAAAAGCCTCTGAAAATTTGCAAACAAACTCCAAATATGCACAAAGCTCATTTTCAGACACGTTTTAATTTTTTAATGGATATCCTCATTATTTGCCCAATTCATCAAAAAACTTCTGTATACTTTTGAATCTTATTTTGTGGCTATTTAATGGAAAGTGGGATTGAGGGAAAAAGGTATTTTCACCATGGATGTGCTCTGGATGCTTTCTTGTAAATCCAGCGTCTATTCGTGGTGTGTCACCTGCTGCCTTGACACCCACTTTCTGGGCAATCATTGCCTGGAAGAAGGGTGGCATTTTTGGCTGGTTCTTTTTTGACTTTGTTTACCTTGCTGTCTGCATAGAAACCTTCAAGCAGAAGAGCTGATCTGCTTTTCTGAGAAATGGACTGGGAAATATCCTTTTGGGTCATGCAGACGAAATCTTGGTGGTCTGCCCTCTCAGCCTTGATGCATAGGCCCCAGTGACCATGGGGAAGACTTCTGATGAGGAAGAAATCTGGCCAGTCTCCTGCTCCTGAGATGACTGTCCTCTTTTTGTCCGAGGCATCCTGAGAAGAGTAGAAGGTCTCTTCATGGTTGAATTAAGCTTGGGGTTAAAGCATGGGGAATCGTGGGCTTGGGACTGAAGGTGAAGCATGAACATCCTGGGCTTTTTCCTGTGGAGGAGGACAGGGCTGAACAGTGTGAAGATGCTAGATGGACAGAAGAGGAGAGTTTTTGGAAGAGTTTTTGTCCTAGACACAAAACATATCTTGGCTGTCAGTAGTTCAAGGTGGCAATCCTGATCCTTTTTACAGCAGTCATTCCAAAACACCAGGCTTGAAGTCAAAACAAGCACCGCAACAAGATAAATAGGTGAACATGCTGTATTTGCTGCACTGAATTAACATAAAATGAGTATGTGAAGGGCTAAGTGCATTTATTGGGGTGGGAGCCAGCAGAGAGGAGCAGAGCTGAATTTGCAAACACTCTTATCCCATAGACTCCTGGGCTGTCCAGCCAGGCTCTCTTATGCTGATTTACTGCTGTCCTTCCTTCAGCCTTTGAAAATCAATCCATTAACAATTAAAGTAATGTCTAGTCTAGTATTTATTTCACACTCTCTCGTTAATGGACTGACAAAAAAAAAACCTTCTTCAAGCTCTAGGACCGTTGTATTTCGCAAACAGGCTGTATCTCTGGGTCATGCTTTCTCCCTTGTTCCCTGTTGGAGCTGAGACCTGCTCTTATGGAAGCATTCAGGAAGATGACCATGCATCACTATACCATACCATCAGATTTCATGTAAAGAAGGTGCAGCTTCTATGCTAAATATCCCCAGACGTAGATCAAAACAGAATTAGAGCAGGAAGGGCTAGCCCTGGATGTGTCTGCTGGGCCCGAGCAGCTCTGCGTTGGGCTCGCTGTGGGCTCTGGAAGAGAAGCAGCGTTTGCTGCCCAGGAGCCCATTTCCCTTTTCACCATCCCCTGGGCCAGAGTGATGCGCCCTGAATTGGATCAGACCCCTGTGTCTCTGCTGCTGTCCCCGACACAAACTGCTGGGAAACAGCATCTTCAGGGGAGCAACCATAGATGGCCACAGGCGCTGGACCATGAGTTCTCTGTAGTCCATTTGCCCTGGTCTGAGATCAAGCTGGGGATGGACCCCAAGAACCTCTTTGCACCCTGTTTTGGGGGTTGGCATGCCTGGGGGGCTCTGCAGCTCTCGGGCAATGAGTCTGTCAGGGTGGGTGTCCCCTGGCTAGGCTGGGGAGGGCAGGGACCTGGGGGGTCTGCACGGATCACCCCACCCCGAGGTAATGAATTTCCCACTGCAGCTCCTTAAAACAAATGCTCCGCTCTAACTCTGAGCCGAAGCGCAGGATGTTACAGAAATGACCTTTAGCGAATGCCACTGGAAGAACACGAAATAATAACAATTTTCTCCCCCGAGTTCTCAGTCCACCTTGTGATTTTATCAGTTTCTAGGTCAGATTTCCCGTTCTGCATCTCCTGCGCTGGCACAGCCTTCAGGCTGCACGATTGCAGAGCAGGGAGGAATCCTCCTCCTGAAGCCCTCCGTCCCCGCTGCCCCGGTCCTTCCCTTCCTCGCAGTGCGGGAGCCCACCCCAGGTAGGCTGCGGGGCCCCTCTGATCGGGGGTGGGGGGGTGTGTGGGGGTGGT